CACACCCGCAGCCCCCACACCATGCACCTGAGCCCCAGCACCCGGAGCCCCTGCACACACTGCGGGGGGGCGGGGGGCGGGTCCCACCCTGGCTGCCCAAGCACGGCGTCCGCCAGGCAGCAGGCCTCACGCCCTGGTGCGCTTCTCCTGCCCGTGCAGGCGAAACATAAACCCGAGGGTGCCCTGGCCCGCACCCTTGTACCCTGACTTTCTCCGCTCCAGGGTCCTCCCGGCACCTGCTGTGCTTCCTCGAGTCCTGGACCGACTCTGTCCCTTCCCGGTGCACGGGACCTGCCTCCAGCCCGGTCCAGGCCGAATGACGATCAACACTGGCCTCCAGGCAGGCGGGGGCCGCAGGCCAGGCGCGGGGGGACCCCCTCCCCGGGGCATCTGCTTGATTTGAAATTATCAGTGAATGTCATAACGTCACTTGTTTCCATGATGAATGGAAATTCTCTTACGAAAGGCCCAGAAATGAAGCTTTATAAAAATAATGAGATCTGAAAGGCAGTTCCACTTTATTTGGTAAAGCTGGTTTTGCTTCAATGAAGAGAACTGCGCTTCGTAATTGACCCAAAAAAAATCAAAATAGGTTCACAGATAAGCACAGGATTTCGCAGCCATCAGCACCTTCCCTGCTCCCTGAAAACTGAGGATCCCCCCCATGGAGATAAGGCTTCCCGGGAGGAGGCTCAGAGCTTAATTTGCTTGTTGAGTAAACGCCTCGCCCAGCCTCGCCCAGCCTCCCAGCCTCCCAGCCTCCCAGCCTCGCCCAGCCTCCCAGCCTCCCAGCCTCCCAGCCTCCCAGCCTCCCAGCCTCGTCCAGCCTCCCAGCCTCCCAGCCTCCCAGCCTCCCAGTCTCCCAGCCTCCCAGCCTCGCCCAGCCTCCCAGCCTCCCAGCCTCGCCCAGCCTCCCAGCCTCCCAGCCTCCCAGCCTCGCCCAGCCTCGCCCAGCCTCCCAGCCTCCCAGCCTCGCCCAGCCTCGCCCAGCCTCCCAGCCTCGCCCAGCCTCCCAGCCTCCCAGCCTCCAGCCTCCCAGCCTCGCCCAGCCTCGCCCAGCCTCCCAGCCTCGCCCAGCCTCCCAGCCTCGCCCAGACTCCCAGCCTCCCAGCCTCGCCCAGCCTCGCCCAGCCTCCCAGCCTCCCAGCCAACTTCTGGGTTAACAAGTAACTTCCCTGCAGAGCTGGAAGTGTCTCCAGCCGTGTCAGCCACAGGAGTGGGCACCAGGTGGGGGAGGCGCCAGGTGGGGAGGCGCCAGGTGGGGGGGGCGCCAGGTGGGGGGGCGCAAGGTGGGGGAGGCGCCAGGTGGGGGAGGCGCCAGGTGGGGGGGCGCCAGGTGGGGGGATGCCAGGTGGGGGGGCGCCAGGTGGGGGGCCGCCAGGTGGGGGGGCGCCAGGTGGGGGGCCGCCAGGTGGGGGGGTGCCAGGTGGGGGAGGCGCCAGGTAGGGGGGCACCAGGTGGGGGCACGCCAGATGGGGGCGCGCCAGGTGGGTTCTCTCAATGGGGCCTCAGTCCCTAAGCATCCTGGGACGTTCCTCCTGCTGTTCCCGTCTGAGGGGTCCCTTCTCTCCACGCCGCCCCACACTCATCTCTTGGCCGTGCCCTGAGGCCGCCTGCACTTAAAGCCGAAGGCACCAGGGAGCCACGTCCATGCCCGGCTCGGCGGCGAGCGGCTCTTCAGACAACGCCCACCCCCCCGGCCGGTGTCCACACACGCGCGTCCACGTGGAGCGCTCTCCACGCTCACGGCCACTGGACGGAGCTGGGCCTCGACTCCGCTAGCCCTAGTCCCGAGGCGCCTCCAGTGCCCGCGACCCCAAGGCAGCCGCCCCCCCAGTGCTGAGCGAGCGGGCGCGGACGACAGGGCCCGGGACCAGCACTCTCCCGGGAGCAGCTGCTCAAAATCTAGCGGCACAATAAGGATTAAAATCGCTGCCGTTCTAATAAAGGCACGAGAAACAGTCGATTCCTTAGAAGACAAACCACGTCAGACTCTGCCCAGCCGGGCCAGCGGACGGGGCCTGGTGCCAGTGGGGCCTCTTCACCGGGGACACGGCCCCAGCTGGGGGGCTCTGCCCAGAGTCCCCCTCGGGAAAGCGCCCGTTTCACTTAAGAGCCAGAGACGTCTCCTGCAGAGAACAGGCGCGTCTCGCTTCTCACTCCCCGGGTGGAGGCAGGAGACGGGCACTGGGGCCGCCTCTGCCAGGCGCCGGGCACAGAGGCCGCTGCGGAGCCCCAGCTGGCGGGAGTGTCCTCCGCGCCTCCTCGGAGAGTCGCTGGCAGAGAAGCGGTTTCTGGACCGAGTGTGCGCGGCTCTGTCTGCGCGTGAACAAAGGGACCTTGGTCCTCGGAGAGAAATGCACGATGCACACTGCAAAGACCAGAGCCAGGCTGGCCAGCAAGGCCTGACCACACCAGGTGCAGGGTCACCGGGCTGGCCAGCGAGGCCTGACCACGACCAGGGTGGGGTCACTGGGCTAGCAGCTCTGGACACGGCCCTGGTCAGTGGCACCGGTGCCTTCCCGGGGCTGAGGGCAGGTGCCGGCCCTCCCCTGTGCCGCATCAGAAATGCCAGGGCCTAGGACGGCGGCTGCCCCGCCCATCGCGCCTCGAGCCAGACCTGAGCCAACCAGCAGGTCACAGCGGTCTGAGCCGAGGACGAGACACTCCAGCCACGTCCTCTCAGGGGAGACAGTAAAGGAATTTATGAAAAGGAATGTCTCTCTCTTTGTTCTTTAAGTTTGGCAAGATAAAGGTGTTTTGATAAAATATGACAACATTGCCTGTGATTTAGGTACATCGGGTTTTACGGGGGCTCAGTCTTCGCACTCGCACACCCAGGCAGAGCAGCCTCCACACAAGACCCCGGGGAGCTACCTGCCCTCCTGACAGTGCTCAGCGCGTTCCCACAGGAGAGGAGCTGCACGCCCTGGCCGCTCCACAGAGTGACCAGTCCACCCGCTGACCCCGCGCCTCCTGCCCCAGCTCCCACAGCCCCAGCCCAGCCCCAAGCGCCCCAGGGCAGGCCCGAGGGGAGGCCGACCCAGCTGCCAGGACCTGCTTTTGTTGTTGAGCCTAGAAACCTTCCTCCGCGCTGCTCTGGCAGACACGGCTCCTCTGCAGGTGTGAGGACCTGAAATAACAGGGCAGAACCTTGAGGCTGCCGCCCCAAGTCTGTCCTCTGACCGCAGGAGGGCGAGCCTCTGGGGCGTGGGGTGGGGTGGGGCCCGGCCTCTGGGGGCTGGGGCAGCGAGGCTGGCCCGGCCCCAGAGCCGACACAGTTCCGTGCCTCTGCCCTGCCTGCCCGGCATGCCCCGCATTGCGACCGCCTCCGGGGGACCCTGAGGGACTGGGCCCTGTTAGGCACAGGGACACTGTGTGCCTGGGACACTGTGCCGGGCAGGCTGCACTCAAGCACCCAGAAATCACGCCTGCCCACCCCGGGGAGTGCGCCTTCCCTTTTGTAAACTGCGTGGAAGGAGGAGCTCGGCTGTGCACGGCAGCCACCAGCGGGCGGCCCAGCACCTGGCCATGGGGCAGAGCCGCTGATCCGGGGGCGGGGCTGGGACTCTGCCAGCTTTGCGATTCCGGCACTTCCTTTCCCAGAGGGGCCCGACCCACTGCTTTTCTCATCACCGTCGCCTGCTGGCTTCTCCCCAGGTTTTCTCGGGGTGCAGTGACAGAATGACAGCTGCCCTGCGGTGCCGCCCGACCTCCAGGCCCACGAGCGCATTGCCCGGCGCCCCGGGAACAGTTTGTAATAAGCGTTTAAGGCATTTACGGCGGGCGGGTCTCCGCGCTCCTGCGGCAGGGGCAGCCGACAGCCCAACCTCCCCGCGCCAGCGTCTGCCCGTCCCCACGCTGTGCATGAGAACGTGGCGCGGAGCAGCCCCCAGCCAGGACGCCACACACCTGGCGCTGCAGTTCAGCAAATTGACCTAAAGTCTAGGACTGAATTGCCTGCGCCAATAAATATTTGTTTTCAAACTCATGAAATCTCTTTTTCCCTGAGACAAAGCCAGGGAAGGCAGAGCCAAGAGGCGCGTGGAGGGGAGAGAAACCCAAGCCGAAGTCGTGTCGCTTGCGGCGGCGCAGCCGCGCTGAACAGCCTGACACAGGCCCCTGCGGCTTCCCGGAAACTGAGCAGGAAAAGGCACCTTCGACCCAGAAAGCCTTCAGGGACACAGACAGACACACAGATGGACGGACGGATGGACAGCCCCGTGGAGACAGGCAGCAGGAGGGCGGCTAGACATGCAAATACACGCGTGATGACCCGGAGCCACGGAGCACGTCCCCCGTGCCACAGCTCACAGAGTCCCCTCGAGCCCGGCTCCAGGGCCCCTGGGGCCCCACCCAGACAGGAGATTTACAGGAACGACAACAATAAGTGACCACAATAAGTCACCCCTCGATGCAGACGCGGCCCCGCCCCGGCAGGAGGGACAGCGAGGAGCGGGGCCTGCGTGCTGGGCCCTGGGGGTCACAACCACACTCGACAGCTTGCGGTTTGGCTGAGAGAGACCAGAACGTGCTTGGGGGTGGGGGAGAGAAGGACCCGGGAGCCGCCAGGCAGAAGCCCCGAGACCAGCTATAGCCTTCCCGGCTGAGCCTGAGCCTGAGGTGCCCGAGGCTTTGGGACGACCCCGCCCCCTTCCCCAGCAGCGGCCCAGGGCTGCGGGGTGCAGCCACGCCCTGCCTCTAGGGGAGCTCGTGGGGCAGAGGCTGAGGCCCCTCCTCTCCACCCGCCCCCGCGACCCCTCCTCAGTCCCCCTGGGGCTGAGGGGCCTGCTGCGGTGTCCACCCTCCACCCGGCCCCTGCACTGCTGAGTCGGGGGCGGGGACGGGCCGGCGAGCCGGGCTGCAGCCCCCTCATCCCCAGCTGCGGCGCAGGCCCCCGCCGAGAAGCAGAGCCAGAGGTGGGGGGCAGCGGGCAACCGCGGCGAGCAAGAAGTGGCCGCGTCCCGCGAGCACGCGGCCAGGGCAGCGCCGGACCTTACCTCGGCCCGCTGCGTGCGGGGCGCGCCGCGGCCGTCTCGATGGCGTACACCTCCACGCGGTACAGGCAGGCGGCCTGCTCCCGGTCCAGCACGGCGGCCGTCTGCAGCACCCCCGTCTGCCGGCCGATGGTGAAGAGCCGGCCGGCCGCCCGCTCCTCGCACCGCACAGACACGATGTAGTACTCCACGGGGGCCTCGGCGCCCCGGGTGCTGGCCGCCGCCAGGGCGATGACCGTGGTCCCCACCGGCTCGCCCTCCTTCAGGATGGTCATGTACTTGGGCTGGGTGAAGACGGGCCCGTCCAGGCCCCGCAGGATCACGGTCAGCTCCGTGGTGGCCCTCCTGCGCTCGGGGCCCAGGTCGGTGGCCGCCAGCACGAGGCTGTAGACCAGCCGGGAGGGCAGCAGCTGGGCTGCCACGCGCAGGTCCCCGCTGTAGCGGTCCACCAGGAAGGTGTCCGTGTCCCCGCTGACGATCTCGAACTCCACCTCCCCGTTGGCACCCTCGTCCGGGTCGGCGGCCGTGACGGTGGTCAGGAGCGAGCCCACCCCGGCGGAGGGGTCCGCGGCCAGGGCACTCTGCGACGTGAACACCGGGGCGTTGTCGTTGAGGTCGGTCACCAGGATGGTGACATTCTTCAGGGCGCAGCGCCTGGCCTCCAGGGGCACCGCCTGGTCGCTGGCCTTGACGGTCAGCTCAAAGAGCCCAGCGAATTCCCGGTCGATCTCGGCGCTGGTGTAGATGGTGCCCTGGGCCTCGTCGATGGCGAAGTGGCTGCCGCGGGGCAGCTGCTGGACGATGCTGTAGGCCAGCTGCCCGTTGATGTCGGCGTCCGGGTCCCGGGCGGCTACCGAGACGACCGATGTGCCGATGGGGACGTTCTCCGCGATGGACTTGAACACGTCCCCCGGTGGGAAGCTGGGGGCGTTGTCGTTGAAGTCCCGCACCTGCACCAGCAGCGAGACGGTGGCCGAGCGGGCAGGCCGGCCGCGGTCCCGGGCCGTGACGTTCAGCTTGTACAGGGATTGGGTTTCAAAGTCCAGCTTCTTGGCCAGGAAAATGCTGCCGGTGTTGGGGCTGATGCTGAAGGTGCCGTGGTTGCTGGCGCCCGAGATGCTGTAGTGCAGCTCGGCATTGTCCCCCGAGTCCGAGTCGGTCGCGGTCACAGAGGACACCAGCTCGCCCACCCTCATGTTCTCCAGCACGTCCACGAGGAGCGTGGCCGCAGGGAAGGACGGGCCGTTGTCGTTCTCATCCAGCACGGCGATGTGCACGGCGCAGGTGGAGTTGAGGGGCTCCGCGCCCGCGTCCACCGCCTGCACCACCAGCGAGTAGGAGGGGGTGGCCTCGTAGTCCAGGCTGCCCACGAGGGTCACCTGGCCGGAGGAGCTGTCCACGGCAAACTGCCCCTCCTCGTTGCCCTTCACCACCGAGTAGCGGATCAGCCCGTTGCTGCCCTCGTCCACGTCAGAGGCCGACACCCGCAGCACCTGCGTCAGCCTGGCGGCGGACTCCGAGACGGCCGCCTGGTAGGAGTCCTTCAGGAACCTGGGGACGTTGTCGTTGACGTCCTTCACGTGGACGTGGACAGTGGCCTGGTCGCGGAGGGGCTGGGGCCGCCCCTGATCGGCGGCCAGGACCGTGAAGGTGAGCACAGCCGTGCCACGCCGCCGGACCAGCGCCTCCCGGTCCAGCCGCTGCGAGCTGGTCAGCACCCCGGTCGCCGGGTGCAGCTCGAACTCCGGCGGCGCTGTCTCGAAGGAGTACCTGACCTCCCCATTGGGCCCCACGTCCTTGTCCTCGGCGTCGACCCTGCCCACCGGCGCGCCGGCCGGCTGCTCCTCCTCCAGGTGGAAGGTGTAGCTGGTGCTGCTGAACAGCGGCCGGTTGTCGTTGACGTCCTCCAGGAGCACCGAGACGTTGACGGCGGCGCTCAGCGGCTCCACCGCCCGGTCCGCGGCCACCACCCGCAGGAGGTACCTGTCCTGCAGCTCACGGTCCAGCTCGTTCTTGACATACAGCTGGCCGTCGGGGAAGATGCCAAAGGCGTCCCCCGCGTTGCCCTCGGCGATGCTGTACGCGATCTCCCCATTGGCGCCCGAGTCCTGGTCCAAGGCCCGGACCGTGAAGAACCGCGAGTTCACGGGCTCCGCCTCAGAGAGGGTGACCTCGTAGGAGAGCTGGTCGAACACGGGCGGGTGGTCATTCACGTCGTGGACGTACACAGTTAGGAGGAGCCCCGAGGAGCGCTGGGGGACGCCCCGGTCCTGCGCCAGGATCTCCAGCTGGTAGGAGCCGGCGCCCACGTCCAGGGGCCCCCGCAGACGGACCTCGCCGGTCTCCTCGTCCATGGCAAACAGGCCCCTGGGGTTCCGCCGCAGGCTGTAGCGCACCAGGCCGCTCTCACCCTCGTCAGGGTCCAGGGCGCTGGCCCGGAACACGCTGCGGCCCGCCTGCCAGTTCTCCACCACGTGCACGCTGGCCGCGGCCTGCGGGAAGCGGGGCGCGTTGTCGTTCAGATCCTTGACCGTGATGTTGACCAGCGCTTCCCCGGCCACCGGCCCCCCGCTGGCCACCACCTTCAGCTGGTAAAAGGACTGCTCTTCCCTGTCGATCTCGCTGGCCGTCGTGAGCCGCCCGGTGCCCGGGTGGATGGCGAACGCGCCCTTCTGGTCCCCGGTGGTGATGAGGTAACTGATGTTGGTGTTGAGGTCCATGGTGCTGGCGGACACGCTGCCCACGTGATAGCCCAGGGCCACATTCTCGAAGACCACGAAACTGTAGGCCGGCTGGCTGAACACAGGCGGGTTGTCCTGCGTGTCCAGCACCGTGATGGTCACTACAGCCTGGGTGGGGGACTGCAAGTGGCCGCCATCCGTGGCCACGATTTGCAACTGGTAGGCCGTCCGTTCTTCCCTGTCCAGGACGGTCCTGGTGGAAATGACCCCGCTCTGCGCGTGCACCTGGAAGCGTGCACCATCCCCCGCCACCAGGCTGTACCGGACGGTCCCGTTGGCCCCCAGGTCCGGGTCCGTGGCCGACACCGTGGCCACATAGCTGCCCTGGGGCTCATTCTCCTGGACATGGGCGAAGTACTGGACCGGGTAGAAGACAGGGCTGTTGTCGTTCACGTCCAGCAGGCTCACGTTGACCTGGGCTGAGGACGTCCGGGGCGGGGTCCCCAGGTCGGTGGCCAGCACCCACAGGGAGTAGAAGGCCCGCACCTCCCGGTCCAGGGGGCAGGCGGTGCTCAGCCGGCCAGACACCGGGTCCAGGCGGAAGGTCTGCTGGTCTGTGTCCCCCTGCAGGGCGAAGCGGACAGTCCCGTTGTCCCCCAGGTCCCCATCGGTCGCCCGCAGCACCAGGAGCTCGGTCCCTGGGGGGGCGTCCTCCGCCACAGACACCGCATACCCCCAGGCTGGCTGAACACGGGCCCCTCGTCGTTCACGTCCAGGAGAGTGACCACCAGCTGGGCATAGGACACCTTGGGGTGCGCCCCCTGGTCCCGAGCACTGATGTTCAGAACCACCTGGGCAGCCAGCTCGCGGTCCAGGCCCCCCGCCGCCGCGGTGGTCACCAGCCCGCTGTGCTCGCTGACCTGGAACCAGCCCAGCGCGTTGCCCGAGACGATGCTGTAGCGCAGGTTGGCGTTGAGGCCCGAATCGCCGTCGGTGGCCGACACACCGCTCACGTAGCTGCCCGGGGGCACCGCCTCGCTCAGGTTCACCCGGTACACAGGCCGCGCGAAGACGGGCGGGTGGTCGTTGATATCGTTGACGAAGATCACCAGGCTGGCCACGGACGAGCGCGACCGGTGGGCGGCGGCAGGCCCGGCCCCGTGGTTGTCGGAGACGGAGACGGTGAGGTTGTAGGAGGGGATGCGCTCGCGGTCCAGGGCGCTGGCCACCTTGATGAGGCTCAGGTTGGGCACCTTGCTGCTCTGCACCTCGAAGTGGCGCTGCTCGTTGCCCCCCAGGATCTGCACGGAGATGTTCCCGTTGGCGGCCGGTGAGTCGGCGTCGGACACGGTCAGCAGCGCCACCACCGTGCCCACCTGCGCGTTCTCGTCCACCGAGGCGTAGCGCGAGCTGGCGGGGAAGTAACGGAACTTGACCACCGGGTCGTTGTCGTTCACGTCCAGCAGCTGGATCAGCGCCTCGGCTCGTCCCATGAGCGGGGGCACCCCGCGGTCCAGCGCCTGCACGGTCAGCGAGTACTGCCGCCGCGCCTCGAAGTCCAGGGGCTCGCGCACTGTGATCAGTCCGGTTTCGGGGTCCACTTGGAAGGGCGTCCCCTCGTCCTGCAGTCGGTAGCGGATGTCTGCGTTGGAGCCCTCATCCGCGTCCGCTGCGGCCACCTGGAGGACGCTGGAGCCCACCACCGCGTCCTCGGGCACCCCCGCCTGGTACTGGGCGCGGCCGAACACTGGGGGGTTGTCATTGGTGTCCTGCACGGTCACATTGACCTGCAGGTAGCCCCGCCGCGTGGGCTCGCCCTTGTCCTCCACTTCCACCAGCAGCTGGTAGTGCGGCGTGGCCTCCCGGTCCAGCCCGCCCCTGGACACGAGGTGCAGGAAGGCGCCCTCGCCGCTGGGGTTCAGGGTGACGTCCAGGCGGAAGCGGCCGGCCTCGTTGCCCTGCACGATGCGGTAGGAGCGGTGGTCCACGCCGTTGGAGCCGATGTCCGAGTCGGTGGCCGTGTCCAAGATGACCTGGCGCCCGCTGCCGCTGTCCTCCTTGAAAGTGACCACGACGGAGGGGTCCGGGAACACGGGGGCGTTGTCGTTGAGGTCCCGCACCAGCACGCGCACCTCCGTGGGGTAGGTGGGCGCGCTGGAGAGCACCACCAGGTTGACCACGTCGCTGGGCAGGCTCTCGCGGTCGATGGTGGCCGTGGTGAACAGGGCGCCGGTGCTGCCGTTGATGGCGAACAGGGCGTGGCTCTCGCTGAGCCGGTAGGTGAAGCCGGGGCGCGTCTGGATGGTCCCCACCAGCGTGCCGGGGGGCTGCTCCTCCAGCACCTGGAACACCTGGCGCGGCTCCGCCCGCTGACCCGGCCGGGCCCGGGGAGCAGGGTCAGCAGCCAGAGCGCGCGCAGCAGCGGGAGCAGCGGCGCGGCGGGCGCCGGCGGGCCATGGTGCCGGCTCCGGGAGGCGCGGGCGGAGGGCAGGGGCGCGGGGTGGGGCCGGGCCGGCCGGGCCGGGCCGGGGCCCGGGCGCGGGGGCTTAAAGCCCGGCCGGCCGGCGGCAGCGAGGGGCCGGCGCGGAGGCTCCCGGGGGCCCTCGGGAGGCGCGGGGGCGCGGGCGGGCAGCGGCGGGCATCCCCGGCGCTCCGAGCGAGGCTGGCGAGTTCCCAGAAAAGTTTCTCGGGCCGCCTCGGCGCGGCGCTGGCGCCCGGGTCCGCGGAGAAGGCCGGGCCGGGCCGGGCCGGGCCGGAGCGGGGCCGCGGTCCGGTCTGCGCTCGGGAATCCGGCCGCGCTGGTCTCCGGAGCCGGGGCGCGCGGCGAGGAGCTGCGCCGAGCCGGGGCGCGGCGGCCGGGGGGGCGGGGGGAGCGGCCCGCGCAGCGCCCCGGAGCGGGGCCCCGGCCCAGGAGCGCCCCCGCCGAGCTGCCGGCGCGCCGCGGGGCTCGGGCGGGGCCGCGGGGGCGCCGAGGCCGGCGGGGGAGCGGCTGGGGCGCCGGGGCTCCCTCCTCGCCCGCGCTCCGCGGGCCCCTCCTGCGCGGGCGGCGGCGGCCGGGGCCGGCGGTCGGTCGGGCCCTTCAGCGCGGCCGGCGCGGCCGCCCCATTATCTGCACCTCCGCGGCGAGCGCGGCGCCCCCTTTCTTCTCGCCCCGCGGGCGTCCGGCGGGAGCGGCGAGCGGTCCCCGCGCCCCCTCCCTCACCATGCCCGGGCGCCGCGGCGGCCGGCGGGTCTCGGGGGCGGCCCCGCGTCGCTTTCACTTCGCGGTCCGCGGGCGCGCGGGGGGCGCGGGGCGCGAGGGGGTGGGGGCGCGGGGCGCGCGGGGGGCGCGGGGGGCGCGGGGGGCGCGGGGGGCTCGGGGGCGCGGGGGGCGCGGGGAGGTGCGGGGAGCGGGGGGCGCGGGGGCGCGCGGGGGGGCGCGGGCGCGGGGGGCGCGGGGGGCGCGGGGGCGCGGCCGCTGCGCTCCGCTGCTCCGAGCCGGCTGGAGGAGGCACCGCCGCGGAGCTGGGGCGCAGGAGCCCGCACCCTCCGCTGCGCCGCCCTGTCCCGCCCCTCCCTGCACGCGCGCGCACACGCACCCACACGCGCGCACACGCACCCACACGCGCGCACACGCACCCACACGCGCGCACACGGCGGCGGCCGCGGCGGAGGACGGCGAGCGGGACCCAAACTTCGCCGGCCGCTCCGCCGCACTCTGGGGCCCGGCCCGGCCGTCGCCCCCGCCCCTCCCCGCGCGCCCATTGGCCGCCGCGCCCCGCCCCGCCCCGCCCGCGCCCCCGCCCGCCGGGCCCCCGCTCCCCCGCCGGTCACTCCCCGCCGGCGGCGCGTCCGCAGCGGGGGGCGGGGGGGTCGGGCGCGAGAGAGAACTTCGGGGCGCGGGCGGGGCCCGCGGGGGGGCGCGCCTGTCCGGGAACGCGCCGCCGGGGTCACCCCGTCCTGCCCGCGCCCCCCGCGCCCCGCAAGGCCCCGGGCGCCGCGGGTCGGGCTCGGCCGGGCGGCGGTGCCCGCCGGGCGCCCCACTTCTGCGGCGGCCCCCCCGCCCCGCGCCGCCTGGGCCGGGGCCGCCGGGCCGAGGCTGCCCGGCCGCCGCCCCCGCCCGGCCGCGCGCGGGAGCCGAGCCGGAGCCGCGCCCCGACGGCCGAGCCGCCCAGCCGCGGGGCGACGCCGCCCCCCGCCGGCCGCCGCGGGAAGCGCAGCCGCCGGGCCGGGCCGGGCCCTGACCACCCGCGCCGGGACAGGCCGGGCCGGCCCGCTCCGAGGAGGGTCCCGGAGCCCCGCGGCCCGAGCCCCCGGGGCGCCCCGCCGTCCGCGGCTCTGCCGGGCGGTGACCGGACGGACGGGGCGCGCGTCTGTCCTGGTGCGCCCCGGGTTTGTCCGCGCCCTGCCTGCGCCCCCGCGGCCGCCCGGCCCTCGGCCGAGTTTCCTCCCGGCACCTGCGACGGCCGCGCCCTCCGGGGCTCCTCGGCGGCCCCTGAGCCGGGAGCGCCGTCCTGTGCGATGTGCCTTTAATTTTGCAAAACAAGACGTTGGAAGATCAGTGAAACGCGCGTGCAGCCAGCGCCCGACGGCGTTTAGTTCCTTCACCAGCTCTGAAGGAGTGACCAAGACTCTGCAACGATGGCGGGTTCCTTGACTCCGTGGCAGCTTTCCAGCGTGGCAGCTTCAAACCCCACATTTGTTTATAGTTAAAACTACACGTGAAAGCGCAGCTGATGTACACAGAGGGACGTGAGCAAAGGCTGATACCGAGATTTATTTCCGTTAAAAACAGGAAAGAAGGCCTTTATGTCACGCCCTCTGGTTTCAAAAATTGTGGCAGTGTTATTATACCCGGTTTCAAAAAAATCAGCAGCATGCCCCTCAAAAAGCGAAATGAAAAAAAAGACGTATTGAGATTACAGATGCGAAACAAAACAAGCTTAGCTCACTTTTTCTTTATGCCAAAAGCTTAACTTCAGGTGTAAACTGATGAACAGACACGTTGTTGTTTAGTGAACACTTGATGAGACAAGGCGTGTCTAAGAGAGAAGGTCTCTGTCAATTTCATACAGTGTGGAGGAAAATTATCTTCCATTTGCAGGCAGGCGTTCTAGAAGATACGACTGATTTGAACTTAAGAGTTAACATGAAAGGGAAGTTTCTGTAACCGTTCCTTTCCCTGACCTGCTACAATTGCTAGATTCTGACCTGTCTTTCAGTTCACTGATTCTTCCTTCAGCTGCGTCTAATCTGCTTATAAATCCGTCATTTCCTCTTCAGTTCAGTTACTGACTTTTTAACGTAGACATCCAGCCATGTTACCTCACGGTTAACTATCCCCTTTGGATATTTTCAAATGGTTTTCATTTCTTTGAACATGCTAAACGCAGTTTTGATGTTTCATAAATGTGTCTGGCTGTTGCACTATCAGAAATATGTAATGATCTGTTTCTGATTTCCGTTGCTAATGCTGATTTTCAACTCCTACAAGCTGTCCCCTGTGCAATCAGAATGTCTGAACACGGACATTTCGATTGGGTCATCCTCTTCAATGTCCCTCGACGTGGTGCGTCCCTGCAGAAAAGTCCTGGCGTTTCCTGCCATCTACCTGGGGGTCACCACAGGCCCCACCATTTTTGCTTTCCCTGAAGCTGCCAACAGTGAGGAAGCAACAGCTGTTCAGTGTCAACAAAACGATCAGCTGCACCACAGAAAGGTTTTCTTGGCACTTTGAGTCTTTACTTAAAGACTGATTCTAGGCTCACCCAGTTGTTCTCACCTGCCCTTCTTCTACATGTGTGAAAAGGAAATAGACACAGAATAATAGACACAGAAATGCAGGTAGTTCTTCACATTGTGCACCGAGCCCCGCCTGTTCTTCGAGTCTGTGATTTCCTTTATTCCTAGATCTTTCTGCCGTCTACTCTGTCTGAGACCTGAGGGGTGGCTGTCACGGCTGGCCAGGCGCAGACATTGAGTCCTGTCCCCTGAACATGGCCTGCGGCCCTCAGCAAGGCCCCCTCGTCCCACACAGGATGCCGAAAACACACAGAAATCGCGGGTCAAGTGGACACAGGCGGCAGGGACGGCTTGAGGCCAGGGCACAGGGCTGTGCTCCCCGAGCGGGGGCTAGGTCTGGCAGGAGGCCAGGGGTGAGCGCGAGCAGAGGGTGCCCCCGCCCCCTGGGGAGGACCCTCAGCCGACCAAGCGGTCCTGCTGCCAGCACTCGCCTAGCAGGAAGGTGGTGGGGCCTGCTCCGGCCGACTGTCCACCCTGGGCCGGCTCTGAGCATGAAACCCCGTCCTGGGCCGTTTGCAGCTGTAGCTGCTTCCTGCTGCCAATCCCAGGCGGCACCCTGGCCCAGGACCCCCTGAGCACACTCCCACCCTACAGACTCAGGCGGCCTCACCCCCCACATGGCCAGCGCAGGTCGCTGGCCGTGGCTCATGGACGCTGCTGGGACGCAGCGGAGGGCCTGGGTCACCCGCGCCTGAGTGGGGCGGACGCCCAATGCACCCGGGAGAGGACCAACGCCTGCCGCGGGGACGGCGGGGCGCAGCCCCTGGGCCCTTGGTCAGAGGCGGGCGCGTTGTCTGCGCTGGTTGCTGGAAGGTTCCAGATGGTCTGTCTTTCTAAACCCATCGCAACATCTTAATTCGTTGTTTATTTGAATTGTTCCTTAGTCATGTCCCCTTTTCATTCCACCCTTCATCACGGAGCCTGTGATTAGAAACGGGCAAACATGTGTTTTGAGAAGAAACCAAGCTATGATTTTGGCGGAGGGAGCAACTCCAGGGCGCGCCTGAGCCCCGGCCCTCCCGCCCGGACCCGAGGAGCCGCTGCTGCAGGAACAAACACGCGACATCTGCGCCGTGACCAGCCGGCGGCACGCCCGAGTCACAGCAGCCATCCCGGGAGCTTGCACATCGGGGCTTGGTTCTCGCGCGTCGGGGAAGACCCACTTTCGCCCCATCCGAAAGGCGGGGGGACCTGGTGTGTGGGCGCCGGGCCTGCCCCACTCGCCAGACGGAGCCAGACTTCAAATTAACTTGAGAAAGTCCCAGATAAAAGCTACACGTTTCCATCACACCTAGTCGTGCCTCTGGTGAAAAATACGCTTTCAGTGGTTATGCTGCACAAGGTTTTGTTTATTTCAAAACACCACACAGTTCTGTACAGAGAAGTCAAGGTTTATAGCACATTTTTACAAACCTCGGAGTAAAACAAGAAAAATAATGTAAAATAAATATCCTGAAATATTTATGGGGAAGAAGGTTGAATTCCACGACAGGGTTTCTGACGGGCACTGCTGTCAGTGCGCTGACTTTAAAGCAAATTTGAATAAATTCCAGGGGGGGTCAATTCAGACAGGATGAGATATTAATAAAATTTAGTGCAAAAAACCCAGCAAATCATAGAAAGTTGAACAGAAGCCTGTCCAGGTTGTCACAGTAACACACAAATAGTCTGAAAAACTAATAAAACTTGTCCTGGTTGCCAGGAAGCCTGTGGCTGGCCCGGGATAGAACCGCACTTGGAGAAACGCGGAGGTCGGCGGGCAGGACGGGAGGGTCGGCGCCCGCCCTCTCAGCATCCACGGCCTCCGCTGCTCGGCCCCGGCCCGCGGTCAGGTGCTGGCTGCCCCGGGGGCAGCAGGTGCTTTCCTGCCCTTCAGGCGTTTGGCCAGAGCCCTCCCTGGGGCCGGCTGCCGGCACGCGCCTGGGGCCGCCGTCTTGTTTTCACCTGCCGTGGTCATGACGCCGGGCACAGCGTGCCAGAACCAGCCCCTGAATCCACCCAGGAAGCAGGTGATGAGCCACAGGGGCCCCAACTTGCCACCCACGTGTCCCCGGGGGGTCTGGGCCCTCCGTCAGGGACATGGCTTCGCGCACAGGGGAGAGCAAGACGCCGCTCGCTGAGGACGGAAGGGTACCGTCTCCAGCCCCCCGCCTCCGCTGGAAGAAGGTTTAGGTGGGTGGGGGGCAATGGGTGGGTAGCTGGATGGGTGGGGGTGAGTGGGGGGTGAGATTGAATGGGTGCCGGGGTCAGCTGCCTCGGCCCAGCTGGCGGCAGAAGGGTGAGTCGGGTCTGGCGGTTGGACCCAGGGAGCCGCCAGACCAGTTGCGTCGTCCACCAAGGGAGGCCCCATGGAGCGCCCAGCCCAGCAGGGGGCTGCAGCAGCCGTGGGCGTCTCGCTCAGTCTGTGCAGAGAACGTGGAAAACGCGCTGTGGGGCAACCAGCTGAGCTTGGGCGGCAGCTGCACAAACCCCGTGGCTTAAAGCTGCACTTCCCGCCCGCGGCCTCCTGGGCCTGCAGTCGGGGCGCAGCTACGCCCAGCCTCTGCTTCGGTTCCCCCAGAGGTGCAATCAGGGCGCCAGCCAGGTGGCAGTATCCTCGGAGGCTCCGGCCGGCCCAGCTCCCTGATTCGCGGCATTGACGGCCAGTCCCTGTGGCTGCTGTCAGGGGGAGCCTCCGGTCCCTGCACCCTCTGCACCCTGCTTCCTGGGATCTAGGAACACGGGGTCCCCGCAGCAAGGGCTGCATCCTGGCGAGTGCACACACACCTGTGTCCAGCCAGGTCTGTGGCCAGAGCTCTTCCCAGGCCTCCCCCCAGGGGGCCGTGCAGGGTGCTGGTAGCCAGTGGACCTCCGCCTGGAGGGAAGGCCCCAGCAGACCCCTGAAGGCACCGATGGGGGAATCCACGCACCTCAGAGTGGGCTGGGCCTGGCGAGAGCCCCACGGTGTCCCCACGGCAGGGGAGGCAGCTCTGCCAAGCCCTGGGGCAGCCTCGCACCCGCCCGAGCGCACACTCCTGGCTGCCCTTGGCTGCAGCGCCCTCGTCAGAGGCCTCCAGCACCAGCGCTGATGCTGGGCCCTCGCAGCCCAGCCCGTCCTCACTGCCCACGCCCGCGGCCCCCATAGGCCGCTCCAGCGTCAGCATGTTGAGCTCCTCCCAGCGGTCACAGCATCGCACCACAGCGGCGAGTGTCTCGGTGAGGGGAGGGGGCAGCCCTGGCCCAGGCCCCAGCCTGTGTTCACCCCTTCTCGCTGCCTTCACCCCAGAAAGGGGGCTGTTCCCGATGAGCGCAGGTGAGGAAGGACGGCTCCCGGTGCCCACGTGCCAAAGCACTGGAGGAGCAGCACCTCACAGACCCCCAGGATGCCCACGCGGACCCCCAGGCCCCTCACAGACCCCCAGGCCCTCCATGCGGACCCCCAGGCCCTTCACGCAGACCCCCAGGGCCCTCGCGGACCCCAGGCCCCTTACACAGACCCCCAGACCCCTGACGGACCCCGGGCCCCTCACCCGGAACCCTCAGGCATCGGTGCTGGCACCCACTGGCGGGATCAGACTGGCTCCCGCCCAGAGTCCAGCTCCCGGCCTGGGGGGCGGCTCAGGGCCGGGACACCTGCATCCAGGGTGCGCTCCGGCCTCAGCCCCTCTGCCCTCCCACTGGGGGCCCCAGGGCCGCCCCAGTGTGGGTCTGAGACCCCGGCACCGGGTCGGAACCACGAAAGGGAGCGGGTCCAGGCTCCGCCGGGTGGCCTTGGGCCTGCCGCGCGGGCACAGAAGAGAGGGCGCGGGTCCGGAGGCGCGGGCTGCGGCCCTGCAGCTGCGCGGGGCGGCTTTTCGGGGTGCTTTCTGTGAGGGACGCTGGCGCGGCCCCTGGACTGGATGTCCAGCAGGTTCTGTCCGCGAGGGCTGGGCCGCCCGTCCTGCCGTGCCCGCCTTCCCACCAGGGGGCGCTGCGGCCCCGGCTCCGTCGCTCCCCCGCGGCCAGCGCCCGCCTGGCTCTGTCCCGCCAGCGTCTGCGGCCTGGGTCGGGGCACCCCTGCCCCGCAGCTGGACGGGCCAGCGCCTCTCCCCCTGATTCCCGCGAGCTGCTGCGGCTGCCCAGCGGGGACACGGCCAGGGCCGGACACACGGGGGCGGGGGGGGGCACACACAGGGCGCGCATGGGGGATCCTACTGGCTGCAAAGCAGGGGAGCTGGAGGGACAGTGGGGGAGCTGGAGGGGGCGGTGGGGAAGCTGGAGGGGACAGTGGGGAGCTGGGGGACAGTGGGGAGCTGGGGACAGTGGGGGAGCTGGGGGACAGTGGGGGAGCTGGAGGGGACAGTGGGGAGCTGGGGGGACAGTGGGGAGCTGGGGGACAGTGGGGGGCTGGGGGGACAGTGGGGGAGCTGGAGGGGACAGTGGGGAGCTGGGGGGACAGTGGGGGAGCTGGGGGACAGTGGGGGAGCTAGGGGGACAGTGGGGGAGCTGGAGGGGACAGTGGGGAGCTGGGGGGACAGTGGGGGAGCTGGGGGACAGTGGGGGAGCTGGGGGGACAGTGGGGGAGCTGGAGGGGACAGTGGGGAGCTGGGGGGACAGTGGGGGAGCTGGGGCATTGGGGGAGCTGGGGACAGTGGGGAGCTAGGGGGACAGTGGGGGAGCTGGAGGGGACAGTGGGGAGCTGGGGGGACAGTGGGGGAGCTGGGGGGACAGTGGGGGAGCTGGGGGACAGTGGGGGAGCTAGGGGGACAGTGGGGGAGCTGGAGGGGACAGTGGGGAGCTGGGGGGACAGTGGGGGAGCTGGGGGACAGTGGGGGAGCTGGGGGGACAGTGGGGGAGCTGGAGGGGACAGTGGGGAGCTGGGGGACAGTGGGGGAGCTGGGGGACAGTGGGGGGAGCTAGGGGGACAGTGGGGGAGCTGGAGGGGACAGTGGGGAGCTGGGGGGACAGTGGGGGAGCTGGGGGACAGTGGGGGAGCTGGGGGACAGTGGGGGAGCTGGAGGGGACAGTGGGGAGCTGGGGGGACAGTGGGGGAGCTGGGGGACAGTGGGGGAGCTAGGGGGACAGTGGGGGAGCTGGAGGGGACAGTGGGGAGCTGGGGGACAGTGGGGGAGCTGGGGGGACAGTGGGGGAGCTGGGGGACAGTGGGGGAGCTGGGGGACAGTGGGGGAGCTAGGGGGACAGTGGGGGGCTGGAGGGGACAGTGGGGAGCTGGGGGGACAGTGGGGGAGCTGGGGGACAGTGGGGGAGCTGGGGGGACAGTGGGGGAGCTGGAGGGGACAGTGGGGAGCTGGGGGGACAGTGGGGAGCTGGGGGACAGTGGGGGAGCTAGGGGGACAGTGGGGAGCTGGAGGGGACAGTGGGGAGCTGGGGGGACAGTGGGGGAGCTGGGGGGACAGTGGGGGAGCTGGGGGGACAGTGGGGGAGCTGGGCACACAGCAGAGGTGTCGCTGGCGAATGTGGGAGACGCAGGAGCCAAACAGGCAGGGACGAGAGTGAGCGGGAAGAGCCCCACGGCTGTGTCTGCAGAGCTGCCCCCGAGGACACTGAGCCTGGCCCCGGGCACACGACGCAGACAGCGGAGAAGCCCCAGCGTCCACCCCAGCAGGTGGGCCCTGGCTGCTCCCTGGAGACCCCCGCCCTGGGAGTCAGAGCTGGTGCCTCCCGGGTCCCTCGGAGCTCGCCCGCTGCGGCCGGCAGGGTGGGTGGCACCATCGTGGGCACCGCGGAGCCCCACAGCAAACACGGGCTGGTTTCAGCCTTGCCGTCCCGCTTATGGGGCCGCCGTCAAGGGGCCCGCTCGCACCGGGGTCCAAGAGGGATGGCGCCACGACAGGAGGGGCAGGAGCCGGCAGGGGCCGCCTCGGCCGCCTGGCCTGCGGGTGCTGGGGTGGTCTCCCCGCAGTGCCCGCCCTGCGCATATCAAGTGTTGCACGAGCTCCTGGAAACAAAAGAAGCCGTTTCTCCCGGCCCTGAAGCCCCGGCCCCCGGCAGCGCCCGCCTGTGGTCCAGACGCTGGGGTCAGCCCGATAAGGTCTGCCTGGCTGGGCCCAGCAGCACCCGGCGGCCCCAGCGCGCGCCCTGAAACAGAAGCCGGCGGCGCGGGGGGTGGCGGATCGGATGGCGGCCAGATCGGCGGAGCCCAGCAGCGCTGCCGGGCGTGGGGGGCTCGGCAGGGAGGGCCGCGGGCGCACAAAGCGGCATTATCTGTCCCCCGAGGGGGGCACTGGGCGGGCCGGGCCGGCAGCTGCTGCCCAGACGCTCCCCTGCAGCGGCCCTTCGGAAACCCCACAAAGGCCGAGCTCCTGGCCGGGCGGGGGAGGGGCGGGTCCGCAGGCCGCGGTCCAGCGTGTGACCCGGCCCAGCGCGGGCTTCACAAGACCCTCCTCTTCCCCAAGGGGGCACCCCAAAGCCGGCCTGGGGGCCACATGTCAGCTCGGCGCCCTGACCGTGGAGACGCCCTCACGCCGGGGCTTCATGGCACCCGCCACGTGAACCCTCCGTCAGTGAACACCAGAGGAGCCCTGTTTGGAGACGGCCGGGGTGCGAGCCTGGCCGGGCAGGCGGCTCCTGAGCTGAGGGGGTGCCGGGGGACACGAGCAGAGCGAGGAGGGTCCTCCCCATGAGCCTCTGACGTGGGGGGCAGGTGGGAGGCGCCAGGCGGTGGCCTCTCAGCCAGCTCAAGGGCACAGAGGCTCAAGGCACGAAACTCGCGCTGAGCCTCCCTTGACTCGAGCCCCCCAGGGTCCAAGCCCTGCCCCTCCCGCGCCCTGCTGAGCAGCTTGTCCCCGGCTGATCTTTGAAAAATCATGGAGGGGGTGCAACGAAGCCCCAGCTGATTTTTATTTATTTATGCATACAAAAGCTGGGGTGCAGGCCAGAGGTGCGGGGGTGAGAGGACGCCCCAGAGACAGTGGGGAGCAGAACAGGCGGATCCACTGAGACACGCTGCTGAGGGGGGCAGCGGGGAGACGGGAGAGTCTGCTGCGCCCTGTGCCCTGTGGGTGTCGGCTCCCTGGCCGGGGATCGAACTCAGGCTGCAGAGGCTGCAGGGAGCTTCATCGCGCTGCCACTCACCCCCCGAGCCCCCAGGGAGGCCCCTGCAGCAGAAATCTTCTCGCACAAATGACAAGCAGCGGGAAGGACTTGGCGGCCGTCACATGACGTCACATTTCTCCCGGGGAAGAAGCCTATTTGCAGATTTCAGCCTCGAGAAAAACCAAGTGTCTGTGCCGGGGATGTGCATAAACACAGAAATTTTATCGAATTCAGTTTGGAAGGCACCTGGCGGAGGCCGGTCTAGGGCAGCATCTCGGGGGCCCGTGTCCGCGCGTCCTCACGCCTGGCCTGGCCATCAGCCCTGGACCCTGGGACCGCGGGCCCAGCCCCGGGGAGCGCCTGACGGCAGTCCAGAGCGTCCCCACAGAGGGCCCGTCCCTGCAGACGCTGACGCCGAGCTGGCTCTGGAAGGGGCCGCCCGTGCCTCGGAGGTGCCTCTTGCGCCAGCAGCTTCTCTGGTGGGACACGAGGGCCGGGCCGGGCTGCTCTCCAGAAGCGGAAGCTCCCGCAGATGCCTGGGCAAGGCTGGAGCCGGAGCCTCTACCCCCGCGGCTCTGGCGTCCGCGCCCCCGGGGAAGGAGCAGCCGGGACCAGGGCGGCCTCAAGGGCCTGAGGCCCCGACCGACCCCCCGCAACGAGCTGTGCCCCAACCACAGCAGTGGATGCCTCGTGGGGCGCAGGGAGACCCGGCTCCCAATGCCTGGGGCAGCGGAGGATTTGCCGGGCAGAGGGGGCACGCGGGAAGCGCTGGCATCCCTGCCAGGCCAGCGGAGGCCCAGACCGCCCAGGACCAGAGTGGCCCATGTCCTGCAGGGCGCAGGCGGCCCCTGAGGCTGCTGGCCCCCGGTTGGTGTCCGCAGCTGGACGCCCTGCAGGTCACTCCGGCTTGCTGCCCCTCCAGCTCCCAGCCCTGGGCTCCTGTCCTGGGCGCGTCGGGCCTGTGGCCCTCAGAGACTGGCTCCTGCTCGGAAGGACAGGGGCCTGGCCAGCAGGCTGACCGATGCTCCCCGCCTGGCCCGGGGGGTTCCCTGGGCTCCAGGGGAGTGAGGCTGGGGAGGCCGTGGAGGCCGAGGGCTCGAGCTGCCGGCCGCTGCCTGGAGGTTGCTGCCCACCGCCCACCTCCCCAGCAGGGCCCTCCCGCCGCCGCCCCCTTCTGGAGCCCCCGCGGCAGAGCAGGAGGTGGGTCCTGGCCGCAGGGCGGTGAGTGAGTCTGTTGCGAGCTCGTGTGCTGGCCCCGGAGGACTCAACGCCCAGGCACGGGAGTAGCAGCAAGGAGGGGCGTCCAGTTTACCGCCCGGTGGCCTGAGGCCCGCGGCCGCCCCTACACCCCCTCCCTTCGAAGGGCGAGGTGGGCGGCCGCAGTGATGCGCCCCCCTAAGCTGGGGGCTGCGGTCACCCCGCTTTCCCAGCCGCTGCCATAATAGTATCTTCCCTATAATGGAAACTGCAATTTGGTTGCAATTTGGTTGCTAGGCAACCGTTCTCCCAGCCCGGCCCTCCAGCCTGCCCCTCCCCAGCTGAAGGCTCCCCCCACCTTCTGCTCCCAGCTAACTTCACTCAGGAGCTCGCCGGCCAGGACAGTGTGACCGGCAGGTCAGGTCCACCCCAAGCCCGGGACGCGGGCGGCCGGGGCGGCCTGGAACTTGCCGGGCCCCAGGCCAGGAGGGCGGCCTGGCCCGAGCGCAGCCGTCGCTGCAACGCAGAAGACAGCCGGGAGAAGGGCCGTTTCCACACCTGCGCCTGCTTTGCTCCTGGTGTGATGCAGCAACAAACCCGGCCACCGGCGGGTGCAGCCTGCAGTCCCAGAGCGCAAGAGTCGGGCAGGAAACGCCCCCACCCCCCCACCCCCCACCCCCGGCTGGGGCCGGGCCCCACCTCCCAGGCTCCCTGCCGCCCGGGGCCCCAGCCTTGAAACTGCTGCACTTGGCGTTTCCACGGAGGCTGCGACGGGGTCCCCTTTAAACAGGCGATCCGCTCGGAGCTGTGCCCGGCCCCGCAGCCCTTCCTGGAGAGCAGAGTTGCTGGGCACAGACGCAGCCCCCCTGGCCTCACTCACCTTATTAGGGGAAACGCCCCGCCCTGGGGCCCCTCCTGAAGATAAACAAGCCAGAAGAAAGGGACGTGAA